ACACCTAACATACCACACCACACACACACCAAACAGATACACACACTAAACACATCATATACACACAAACACACCAACACTCACACCAAACACACCCACAACACACACACCCACAACACACACACAAACACACACACATTACACACACACACACATACCTATTCTGCATAAGAGAACACATGGTACTTGGGTATCCACATACTTTAAAGATGCTTCAAGCATGTTGCTATTCTTCAGGGTTTTAGCAGTCTAAGTACTTATTTTCAAGAAGAGGAAACCCCAGTTCCAACCCCCCCCCAAAGAAACAAAAAGTCTATTTGTTTTAGGTAAAAACATTTCTGATTCTTTTTAAAAATTGATGCACTTTAATAGTTTTGAACTTGGAACAATTTTATTATATACATTTTACGTAGCCATATACATTATAAAGTAAATAAAGAATAAAAATACTTTTAAAGTATGGTTTTAATAAGATCTTTCCCCAAACAGTGTGACACCTACTTGGGTTGATCTTAGGGTCCCGTTGCTTCTTTGGGGCATGTTGAAGGGAGTGTTAGCATGTAACGAGTCCTGACGTCCAGACATGACAAACTGTGCAGAGATGCTTGTGCTGTTTGCGCCACATGCTCAGATGAGCCTTGGTGAAGAGTGGGGAGCCATCGCCTTCCCTCAGCGTTGTTCTAACTTTGTGGACCTTGGAAGCCAGCCGTTTTCTAAGGTGGTGACCTTCAAAGTTCCAGCAATACTTCCCTGCCCCTTTGTTAAAGGCATCCCTGGACACTGAAATTTATTTGCACGGGTTGATAGTTTTTCAGAGGGCAGAGACTCCGCTGGCTAATTTTATTTTTGTCAACTTGAAACAGGCTGGAGTCATCCGAGAGGAGGGAGCCTCAATTAAGAAAATGCCCCCAGGACACTGGGCTTTGGGCACACTTGTAGGCCATTTTTCTTCATTAGTAATTGTAGAGGAAGGCCCAGTGCATTGTGGGTAGGGCCATCACTGGGCTGGTACATAAGAAGGCAGGCGGGGAGCAACACGGCTCTGTGGCCTCTGCATCAGCTCCTTCTTTCAGGGTTCCCACTCTGCTAGACTGTGGATGCAGGAGCATAAGCCACTCTGCCCACTTGCTTTTTGTTGTACTGTTTCATCATAGCATATTAACCCCAAATAACTTAGAGACCAAATCAGAAAACTCTGGCAGTGATTCCTAAGACCTAAGGAGAGGTATCATGGCCTAGAGACTTGGACTCTCAGGGACAAGCTTCGTAAGACTGCTGGATTATGACTCCCACTTATTGGCCAAGTAAGCATTGGGCTGATCCATCTCCCTGTACTTCAATTTCCTCACTTATGTATAGAATATTAACTACCCCAAGGGTTTTTTGATGATCAGATGAGTTCACACATATGTAAGCAGCACCAATACCTCCTCTTAGGAAAAGCTGTATAAAATTCTTTCTCATGACAATGATAGAAAGTTGAGTTTTTAAGGAAAAAAAGCAGTGACCCCAGAGGAAATACTGAGGAATTAGCACTGGGATTTGGGAGGAGCTACACCCTCATTACTTTGTTGAATGGATGCACCTGGAACCTGACTAACGAATATCACACTTGTCTTGATGCTCTTTAGTTGGATGAAAGGACCAGGTGAAGTCTCACTACTGGAAGCCTTACCGGAAGAGCTAAAATCACTCTGTGTTTGGCCACCTCCTACACTGCTGCCTTTCATTTTCATCTCTATGCTTGTCGTACTGAGTCTTGGCCTATAGTTAGTCACCTGTGTCCTTCTTTCTTCACTAGATAAGGTCTCAGTGTAGACGCTGTCTTACCCACTTTTAAAAAATTATATAGTACTATGACTTAAACATAATAGACATATAATAAGTATTTATTGAAAGGGGCTTTTAAAAGTATAGTGTGCCAAACAGACAATTATCACTATTACTCTTACTATAACCACTACAGTGTGACTTTATAGGGTGTAATTACACGGCTTTTTGACATGAATCTAAGTAGGAGTGTTGAGTGAGGTTAAGATGCAACCCAAACACTGAGTATTATGGATGTACTCATTTCTTTCTGTATTATCCCCTTACTTTAAAATACAGCAATGTAGCAAGTGTTTTTCTAGTTCTATTTGGGTTTATGTGACATAGTCGATTATCATGGGTCCGCAAGAAACCTTCTTATCTTCCTGTGTTGCTACTACATGATAAATGATGCATATGCAAGTAACTAATTAGGTTCTGATCTCAATTCCAGATACGACTTGGGAATTTACTTATTCATCTTTTTAAAAAAAGTATTACAACGTTTCTCTGCCAGTGCTGGCCACCCCATGGGGCACTGTGAGACCACACGGGCAGTGGGGTGGACAGCATTCTACTCTTTCCTGCGTGGATAGCAGGCATTTCCAACAGGAGGCAGGACCACTGAAGCAACTTGAAAATACAGGCGAAGATCCTTGATCTCCATTTTACATTTTAGGTGAATTTTCATTTCTTGAGGTCATTGGATCCATGGTCATGATTTTTTTTTTTTTTTTTTTTTTCTTCAGGATAAAAAGGAGAGTCATTGGGCCAGCAGGAACTACAAAGAATTGTTGCTGGTTAAGTGATTGTACTAATGATTGGTAGCTGTAGATACCATTAGAGTTACAGGTGACTGAGTTAATTTTAGTTTTTAAAAAGTAACTTCAGTGACTATGCATGATTTCAAAGTGTGATGAATAAGGACTACTGGCAAATATGCATTTCTTTATCTGGCTTTGAGTGTTGTGATGTATGGATGCTTCCCATAAGGTTTTTAAGGAGACATGCATTTTCATGTCGATGTCTTCCCTGTAAGCTCTGAAACCACCTTTTCATTTCATTTAAAATACTAAAAATAAGTTGAGCAGCTACGTACGCAAATTTCTTTCAAACACACAGCTTGAAATTTGCATCAAAATAAAAAAATCAAGACTGCTTAATTAAAACCTTGACACCACCAACCTCTTCAATTATGTGCTAAGGAGGTAGGCACCCTGGGGATACCAACTTAAAATCAGTGTGCATTTTGAGTGCCATTAGCATGTATGCATGCACAGTTCTCTGAAGGGAAGAAAAGAGCTTTAGTAGAAAAAAAGAAGAAAGAAAGAAAGGAAGATGGACTATTTCTGCTGGGTGTGAATTATTTCACCTTTGAAAAGCAAGGAGGAACCAAGCCTGCAGAGCCCCTGACACAATGTTTCCCTCCTGTCTGTGCTCAAAATGTCAAGTCTCCCTGTAAACAAGGAGAAATTTTTACAGTAATTTGTCACTTAAAAAACAGTACTACAGCCTGGCTTCTGGTTTCTGGTTCTAGAGACCGTAAAGAGTAAAGATGGGAGGGAGGGCGCTCAATTTCTCTGCTTCTTTGGAGTATATGAATTTTGCAGTAAAAATGACTGCTTTTCTTTACTTGATAGTTCTTGTTGTCTCCACGGTCGTGTGCCGATCCCCAATTTCTCTCACTGACGAGGAACCCAGCAGCTCTTTGTTCTCATTGTGTCTGTCCTCTCCCTTTCTTTGTGTTTCAGGGATACTGCTGCCCGCATCTGCCACTGAGCATGCGGGGAAAAATCCTTCAATAGATTCTTCACTTAGGAGTTTCGATAGTATTATTCCACCTCTCCAGGTTTTAGAAATAACCACCACACTAAAAAAGATAGAATGAAACTTGGAAAGGTGATAGGAGATACAGGTGGTTGGGGTCTGATGGCTGGCCAGCTGGGAATCCAGGGAGGGAAACTTCAGGGTAGTTATCATTCATCTATCTGGCTTAAGCAGCTCTTGCCAGCCAACTTAAATTCAGAACACCCATCTTGCACATACACACACATTTAGAGATGTAGCTACACAACCGAGAAGACACAAGTATTTCTGAGCAGTAAGGCGCAGGGTCAAATTAAAAATCCCTAGATGCAACATCCCTGCCATGCCTCAGAGATGTGTGATATGTTTTCAGTGATGTTTCATCTACACTGTGTATAGTGCCCAAGCGAGGCCCTTCATCAGATAGGATACTGTCTGAGGATGAGAACCAGCGATGTGGATTTTTCTCGAAACATAACGTCAGGCTTTCCTTTGTGGTAAACACACAAAATGCCAAGTCAACATTAACTGAACAAAACGATTCATTTCGTCCGCTTAAAAGCATCTTTTGTTTAAAAAGAAACAAAAAGCATGGTTTCCAAGAAGTAAAAAAAAAAAAAGCAAGTGATATTAGAACCTTCCTCTTTTTGCTCAGGCATGCCTGACTGCAATAGTGTTGGCTATTTAACAGATGGGGCACTCTACAAGTTAACTATATTTCTCCCCGCACTGACTTTTGTCTGTTGTTCACTTTGCTCAAAAAGCCATCTTTTGGAGCAGAGTGTCGCACACAGGGGATGCTCAAATCTTTCGTCTAATTGAAAAGGGTATGAAAACGCCACTCTCGTTTAATGGAGATAGTTCAAATATGGGTATTTTAGATAGGCTGTCCAGTGACAGGAATTTCTTCCTTTCCCTCCTCAGCCTCCCCTGTCCCACCATTTTGTTTCTGTGCTACCTAACACTACTGCCCTTAGGAGCATCTTTTCAAAGCCTTTCCACTCCGAGTCTGTTTTGGGAGTCTCAGCATCAGTGCGCCCCAGACCTTCTATTTCCTACAGGGAGGGCAAGCCCAGGGTACATTTCTCTTTACTGTAGGCACCTGCTACGACTTCTTCAGATCCCGCCTTCAGCCGCCACCCGAGCTGGGGGCTCCGAAGCCTGAAGCGGGAGGAAGTGCGAGCAGCGGGAAGTTCAGGTCAGGTCCAATCAGGCACCTGGGGTTAGGTGGCGTGGGCGCCTGCGGATGCCCAGGGCGGGTCCCTGCCCAGGCCCCGCCCCCTCGACAGTGCCATCAGCAAGGCTCCGCCCCCGCCCCGCCCCGCCTCGGGGCCGCGGCTAAAACCCGGAGCCGCTAGAGCAGAGCCCGGTGCAGAGCACAGAGCCGCTCGGCTGCCGCCGCCTGGTCCCGAGGCTGGGCCCTGGTGCTGATGTTGGTAGGCGGCGCGAGCTGGGCCCGCGTTGCCTGCTCGCCGCGGCGCTCGGGGCTCCCGCGATGATGGCGGAGCAGGTGAAATGCGCCTCGCCCGTGGCGGGCTCCGGCGCGGGCTCCGGGCCGGTGGTGAACGCCGAGCTGGAGGTGAAGAAGCTGCAGGAGCTAGTGCGCAAGCTGGAGAAGCAGAACGAGCAGCTGCGCAGCCGGGCGGCCAGTGCGGCAGCCGCCCCGCACCTGCTGCTGCTGCCGCCGCCGCCGCCCTCCGCGCCGCCGCCGGCCGGGGCCTGCAGCCCGCTCACCCCGCACAGGGCCCCGGCCGGCACGACCTCCTCGAGCCCGGGCGCGCTGGGCCCCGCGTTCCCGGGCACCTACTGCTTGCCCAGCCCCGCGCCCTCCCTGCTCTGCAGCCTGCCGCCCGCAGACGCGCCCTTCGTCTACTCCAAGCCGGCGGCGGGCTTCTTCGGTGGGGGTGGCAGCCCGGAACCGGGGACCCCGGGGACCCCGCCGCCGCCGCCCGGGGAAGCCCCCGCGCCGCCCTTGCTGCCTCCAACGCTGCTGGACGAGGTGGAGCCGCTGGACCTGGAGAGCCTGGCCGCCTGGAGCGAGGAGGACGACTGCACCTGGTATTGACGAGCTCAGCCGTGGTCCCCCAGACCCGGAGTTCTGAGGCCCAGGAAGCGGGGCGGGGCGTGGGAGGAAGGGGACCCTGAGGCCTAGCAGGTGCCAAGCCCTGAGCAGAAGCGTGAAGGCAGAATCCAGTTTTCTGATAGCGCCTATTGGTCCGACTAGGGACTGGGGAGGAAACTGCCATCTGCCTTGTGTACTGATTATCGGGTCCCAAGTGCCTCGTTAGCCTTAACTGCACAACTCATGCCATCTTGTCGTTCAGTCCTGCTCTGCTCTTTTAACCGTGTGTGTGTGTGTGTGTGTGTGTGTGTGTGTGTGTGTGTGTCTGTGTGTCTGTGTGTCTCTGTGTGTGTCTGTGTGTCTCTGTGTGTGTGCGCACTAATGGAAGATTTGGCATCATCTGCCTTCCAGTGATTATGGTTCTTTCCTTTGAAAAGCTTGTTGGACAGGGTTAGTGTGCAGCCCTCTGTGGTAGCATCCGAAGCCACCTAGTGATGGGTCTCTTCTCAGACATCAGCTCTTACAGTTGAGTTGTGCCGTTAGGTGTGCCCTCTCTCTCTCTCTGTTTCCCTGATAACCTCTCAGATACTGATTTGATTATTAAAGGTGTGCTATCTCCCTCTGTCGGGAATGGTGTAGGAAGCGAAGGCATGTTGGGAAATGAGCAGTTGGAGGTACTATTTATTTAGCAAATTGAACTTGGGAATTTTTATTAAGTCTTAAGAATGAAACCAGATTGAAGAAAAGGCACTTGTGCTGGCTAGTTTTATGTCAACTCGACACAGGCTAGAATCATTAGAGAGGAGGAAACCTCAATTAGGAAAATGCCTCTGTAAGATCAGGCAAGCCTGTAGAGCATTTTCTTAGTAATTGATTGGGGGAAGTGAGCGGCCCATTGTGGGTGGTACCATCCCTGGGCTGGTGGTCTTGGGTTCTATTAGAAAGCGGGTTGAGCAAGCCATGAGGAGCAAGCGGTAAGCAGCTCTCCTCCATGGCCTCTGCATCAGCTCCTGCCTCCAGCGTCCTGCCTTGTTTGAGTTCCTGTCCTGACTTCCTTTGATGAAGAACTGTGATGTGGAAATGTAAGCTAAATAAATCATTTCTTCCCCGTGTGCTTTGGTCATGGCGTTTCATCACAGTCATAGTAACCCCAACTAAGACAGTGCTGTTAGAGAAACTTTGTTGTGTTATTTTAGGAACTAAAAGTTCCTAAACTTTAAAAAAGTTAATGTAGGGATGGTCCAGGCCTGAAGGTTTCATGCAATGGGAATCTGGTTAGCTCTGTGTCTGTTCTACGAGTACTTTTTGGAGGGGACCAGCATCTATTCCGGTGTCCTGTTTTCCCGCTTGTTGGTCCAGCACTTGTCCTCAGAGGGGGCTTCTGCTAGGGTTTGCTTGGTCTCTAGAGGTACTCTAGGAGTGAAGTTTGGATGGGTCGGAAACTTGGACTCTGCAGGGAAGCCGAGCAGTGTTCACATCTGGACTGCAGCGGCAGGACTGGGAATTGCAGCCCTTTTGTGTCTTTGATGTTTCTCTTTAAGAAAGTGGGGTTTTCTCATTTTGGGCTTTTGTTATAGGGAGAGCTCTCAGCTCACTTTGTATTTTGTGTTAGGGACTGCAGTGTTTCTTTCTCCTTTTGTACTGCACATGGCAACTAAACTCAGTCTTAAGCATGCAGACCCTAATCATCAATTACTTTGATTTGAGAATTAAAAACACCACAGATTTTGTAGAAATCTTTGGTGGGCACATCTCTCACCTGTTTCGGGAATGGTGTGGGTGCTCTGTGTTCTGATTGGGCAGCTCAACATTCCCTGTAACTTTTGCCATCTTTTCTAAACTACATCTTTTTTTTTTTTTTTAATTGTTTTGTTTTTTTGGTAAAGCTCAACTGTGGTTCAGCCTTGAGAAATGCCCCTTCCCATGGCTTCCTTTATACCTGTAAACCCTTAGGCCAATTTCAGATCAGTTTGAGTTTTTTTTTTTTTTTTCAAATCATGTACATAAACAATGGGAAGAAATATTTACAATTTTGATAGAAACACAAAGGAGCGATCCTTTTAAAATAAGTCATAATTTAAAATCTAGTATTACCGTTAATATCATGTATCTTTCCTGAGAAGTTCTCATACTGTAGCCAAGGCTGGCCCTAGAGTTTATGCCTTAGTCCTTTAGCTTTGAGCACTGGGATTACAGGCGTGTTACACCGAAACGGGCTCTCAAATTCATTATATTATTGCTGTTTACCTGGTTACATATGCCAAACATAAGTTTTTTATATTTGCTTCTTTTGAATGGGCCTTTACCACAGTTATCCAACTATTAGTATATGGTTGACAAGCTTTTTACTGTTTGTCACTTTAAAAAAAAAAATCCAGAGAGCATTGCAATAAGATTTAAAAAGAGCTATTTAGTGAGACCAGCATATCGCTTCTTCCGGTGGCTTGGAGCAAATGTAAATGAAAGGAAATTTAACTTTATCCATCAAATATGTTGGGAAATAATAAGAGTTAGCCCTTCATTGCTTTAAAAGTGCTTGTGTGGACATATGGCACGCTATTCATGGAGTCCCTTCCTTAAACATGGGAGGAGATCCAGGTGGAAAAAAGAGGGATCATTAATATTAGTTGGGTGCACTTAAAGATTTTGAGGTCACCCAATTAACAGTTTTAAAATATTTTATACATTATTTTTGTGTTGAAACATTTGAACATTTTTTTTTTAAGTAGCCGACAAGATGTACTTTAGAGATTTAAACCACCTGCTAATGTTTACGGAACACTCCAAGTCCCTGTATCCCTGTGAACTCATGTCCCCACCCTAGAGTGCCACAGTAATGTGCCTTTCCTCTGGATTCCATAGTAGGTCTGCATGCCTCGTCTTCATTTCATGTGTATACTAAGGCACAGCTGGAGTGGGTATGTATAGTCTACGTCGAGAAGCTCTCTGTCAGGCACATGGTTTGCAAGCATCTTCTCCAAACACGCAGTTTGCTTCTTATTTTTTGGCAGTATTTTCCAAGGGAAAAGATTTTCTCTTGGGTAAGGCCCACGGGTGCCTCTCCTTCTTCTGGATCACGCATGATTTCAGTCGTGAAGGGATGTTTGCCAACCTTGGGACACAGACTTTCACCTGTGACTTTTAATAAGATTTTTCTTTTCGGGTTTCTAGCTTCATATCTTTTTAGTTAGCTGAGGATATTGTATGAAGTCAAGAGCTCTTGGGTTTGTGTATGAATATCCTCATTCCTGCATCATTTGTTCAGAAGACCACCCTTCATTGATGTCTGTGTTGGTTCCATTTGGGGACTATCCTTTACCTGTATGCCACACTAAACTTTCTTCACTACTATTGCGCTGTCCTGATTTGTCAGTGATAGCTCTCCAGCTTTGCTGTCTTTAAACATTGTTTGGCTTTTGAAGGACCTTCCTAAATCTGTGTGAATTTTAGAATCATTTTCTATACACACACACACACACACACACACACACACACACACACAGAGCTAGGGTTTTTATTGGAATTTTGTTAATTATAAAGATCTCTAAGAACAGCCTACACCTTAACAGTATCCAGTCTTTGATCTGCAAACCTGGCATATCTCTCCATTAATTTATGGCTTTAATTTGTCTCTGACTGGTTTTGTGGTTTCTGTGGTATAAAGCTCATACACATGTTTGATTTATACATGTGTTTGACAGTTTTTAAAATGCTATTGTAGATGGGAAAAGGGCGAATATGAAAGCATCAGTATTTTGTTGCTGATATACACAGATGGGTAGTGACATACATTGACCCAGCATCCTACAATGTTGCTAATAGATTAATATTTTTAAATAGGTGGTATTATCCATGAAGAAAGACAGGTTTATTTCTGATCGTTCCAAATATTCCTAGTCAGTTCCCCACTGGTAGTGGTAGAGCCTTTGTGGAGCCTTGACTAGAGATGGTGAGCCTGTGCCCTTACTTTACTCAAGGAGAAGTGTAGTGTTCATCTTTTACCTTTAGAATGCTATAGCATCTTTTAAGAGCTCTTCAGTTGGGTTGAGGGCTTTCGGTTTTACTGGAATATTCTTTTCTTTTTATAATGGCTGTCAAATGCTTTTTCCTTTGTCTATTGAGATTATCACATGACTTTTTCCATTTTAGTTAAAATTAAGTTACTCTGATGCCATTTCTGGAATAAACTCTCCATGGTGAAGATGAAGTGTCTCTGAGACTCAGCTTGCTAAAATATTTAGACTCTGCGTCTGTCCGTGAGTGATAGTGGTCATTAGCGACCCCCATAATGTCTGTCCGGCTATAGCATCAGGAAGCCACTGTCCACACAAAATATATCGGATGTCATCTGTCCTATGTGGAAAGCGTTTGTGAAGAATTGGTATTTTGTTTAGATATTTGACAGAATTCAACAATCAACCTCTCTAGCTTTGGTTTTTCTTTGTAGTTTTTTTTTTAATTTAAACTTCTACTTTAGCTTTTCTCTGTATCTCCATTTAATTTTCCATAAACAGCCAATATATGCCATTTGTATTCCTGGATTAGTTTAGATTGGTGTGGCAAAGTGGGGCAGTGTGCTCTTATGTCTCAAGTGTGCTCTTGACACCAGAGATGTGATCATCATTGCCTGGGAACTTGTTAGACATTTATATTCTTTGAACTCACTCTGAACCTACTGACTCAGAAAACTGGAGCTGCTGCATGCTCAGGCAATTTCGTTTGAAGTACCAATGAGTAAGAACAAGTGGCCAGTCTGAACTCTACTTGGACTAGACAGGAGTGCCTGGTTCTGGACATGCCAGGAGCCTGTAGGCTAGGGCTGTAACATTCTGGAACTTCACCGTAGGGCCTCGGATGCACAGACTTGTCTCTGCCTCCCTGATGCTGGGGTTAAGGAGCACAGGAAAGAAGTCGTTCTTTTTTAGTTAAATTCCGACTGCGGTGCTTGAGGGCCACAACAGCAGGGTTGAGTAGTTGTAACAGATCGTACCGTACCGTAAAGCCAAGGGTCGTTACTAGCTAGTCCTTCACAGAAATTGTTTGCCAGCCTCTGAGCTAGTAGAGTTGGCAGAGTTGAACACGCCTTCCACCTTTGTGGGCCACACTGATAACACTCTAACAGGTGGCCGTCCTGTCTTATGATCGCAAAAGGGTAAATAATGAAGATTGGTGTTTCAGGAAGGACCGTGTTAGAGACCAGAGAGATGGCATTAATTTCCAGACATGCCAAGTGCTGTCATTAGATGCCAATTTTGTAGCAGAAGCATCTCTCAAACAGAGCTAAAGTGTGGGGGGGGGCATTTAGCTGTGTTTTTAAGCTGTTCTCCATAGGCTTTGGAAAATGACCTGTTCTATTTGGGGATGTTTGCCTGTTAAAAATGACTCTTGGGACTTTGAAGCAAAATCAAACGAGGTTCTGTCTCTATGGGAACTGTTCAGTACATGCTGTTTCCTCCAGAAGAGAGGTTTTTCCTCTAATCTGTATAATGCCTGTAATGTAGATTTCTTTTTCTTTCTTTTTTTTTTTTTTAAAGGTTATATATTGTCTCTTCAAAGACCTTCCCCTCACCAGAGAAGTCCCTGAGTCCTTTGCAGTGGTGTAGACACGTCCTAGATAACCCAACTCCTGAGATGGAAGCAGCCAGACGCTCCCTGCGCTTCAGGCTGGAGCAAGGTACTGTGAACACGCTCTTCCTCCTCCCCTCCTGGTTTGTTCCTGGTTTGGGAGTAGGCTTCAGCTGAAGAATTCTTACCTGAAGTGCAGGCTGTTGTGGCATGCAATCCTCCTGTCCTGTATTCTACACAGAATTCCGCAGTGTAGACTCTATTGAGTTTGGGAAGTACTTTTAGCCAGAGTTTTAGCTTATACTATGGAACACATTTTTTTTTTTTTTCTGTTTCAAAAACATGTCAGCAAAGGAAATGGATCTGTCTTTACTTTCTGCATTGGTAACTGGGGTATGGTGGCTCAATTCTAAGTCAGAAGTTGGACTCTGTTGAAACCCGAGGGCTAAGCTCATTGAGCTCCATCTCGTGTGCTGGTGTCATGTGTAGCTGCATGAATAACTGGAAGTGCTGAGCGCCATAAACTAGGGACCAATCCTATTGGTGTACGTAACATTAGTTAACTGGTGGACACCAGCAGATGTGGAAATATTAGCCCAGGCACAGATGCGTGCGCGTGCACACAACACGCCCCAGAGAGAGACGGACACACAGGCAAGAGGTAGATGGTAGAGACAGACAGCAGAGAGAGACAAGGAGTTGTAGGAGAACCACTAAGGAAATGAGTAGTCGGTTGTTCCTTACCTTTCTTATGTCCTCACTAACGCAAGGCTGTGATTGCTTGAACTTTTTGTCATGTTCTTTAACCTCTCGGTGTCTGTTCGCTCTCCAGAAATACCCTCTCTGCCCATGCATCTCAGATCCTATTTGAACTTGAAATCACAGGTCTCACCCTCTCCAGGATAGAGAATGGGGCATGTGAGGGATGGACAGGAGGGATCTGCACTGGTGGGATCAGGACCAGTGCTTAGGCACAATGAAGTTGTGGACACTACTTATCAAGCTCAAGGGTAATGGCTGGTTATGGGATACTTGAGTGGAAGAAAGCATAGGTAGACTTTCACCTCTTACTTTTATGACAGCCAGTACTTCATGTTGACCTGATTTAGGTCACTCACCTGTCGAGGTGATTAAGGGTGAAGTTGAGTGGTTTAGAGGATTGTTTCTGGATATCGAGGGACCAGGGTCAGAGCTGGGCTCTCTGAGATCCAGCCCATAGATGCTGTCTCAGCATGGCTAAAGGTTGATATCAACAGAAATCCAGCTTAAATGTCTGGAGAAGGTAGAATTAGGCACATGTCTCATTAACATTTTAACTATTGACTTATTGATAGCGTGTTGGAGAGGGTCATCGAAGCAAGGATGTACTGGGGTAAACAGTGCCCGTTAGTGGTGTGGTACCCTGATGTCCAGAGAATCTAGCATCTGTTCGCTCCTACTCAACACGGTGACTCATGAAGTCAGCATGTCCCCCAGAGTCTAACCCTCTAACTCAGTCAAGTAGCCCTTGATTTAAGGTCTTGCTGTGTGGACAGTTTTATGTATGAGTATGGCTTAATAATTTGAAACAAAAGTCAAATGAGATTCAAGAATTATAATACTTTAGCTCAGAGGTCAATAAGCATTTTTCTGCAAAGGATCAGGTAATAGATGACTTAAGTTTTTCAGACTACACACTCTGTGACTGTGCCCCTTAATCATCACACAAAAGCAGCTGTAGATTTACAGTTAAGTGAACAGAGCTGTCCCAATGACACTTCATTTTTGGACACAGATCTGCATTTGAAGCGTTTTTCTCTCATGAGGCATCCTCCTCTTAAATGTAAGAATGGTTCTTGGCTGAGAGAATCATGGGACAGAAGGCAGCTGGCGGGGAGGGGAACCATGGCCACAGTGTCAGCTCCAGCTTCAGCTGGCTGCCACACAAGTTGGATTACAGGGTTGAGTTTTAAGAGAAGAAACTTTTAGTAAATTTAATGTAAATCTCATTATTATTACTTTTTTGTATCTATTTTGCTTTTGTTGGCCGATGTGAAGTCACAAGGGCATGCAGTGAAATGGTGTATTTTTATTTGTGCTTTAGTATACTTGAATTTTATAGGAAGCATTTTAGGTAGAGAACTAAATCTTCAGAACCAAAATCAGTACCCGACTAAATCGAAACTTTTGCCGTGAGTCCAAATGCCTTTGTTTCAAAGATCTGTAGTCCCAATATAAGATAACTCGCCGACTTGGGCTGCAGACATAGGGTGAGGTGGCGTGTCATCGGCGTGCACATCTGCACTGTGCAAACCATAGTTTGTTTACCGGATGGTCATTGTAAAGCGACCATGTACTTCACAAAATCTCTTCAGCTTGAAAAACATTAATCATAGAGTATTTTTAAAAAGCTTCATATTTTACCTGTTTATTTCCCAGATGCACTGTTTAACAGAAGCTGTTTTTATGTTCAGGCTTTTTAAAATTCATTTATTAGATGGCTGCTGAGTTACATGATCATTAAAAGAACTTTTTTTTTTTTTTTGAGAATTCATATGTGGATACTGATTTACATTATCCCCACCTGCTTCCTCTTTCTCCCCAACTCCTTCTGTCTTCCCCTATTCCTCCTCAAATTCATGACTACTACGTTGTTACACACACATCCTGTCTCTCGCAGACTTTGGATTGTAAGGTTGTTTTTCAACCATAGCTTCCCAATCTGGCTTTTTATCGATTACAGGATACATGAATGTTTTTATGATAGGAATGCTGGCTTCTAGGCATTGCAATATTTCATATTTTCTATCCCTCCTTGTTTTTTAATTGGTCGCTAAAGATGCTTAGCTGGTTTCCTTAGTCTGTGCCATTAGTTTATTTCAGGCTCTCCGGGTAGACCCTGAGCCCGTTCCATTCTTTAGCACCAGGTCTCTCTCTCTCTGTTGCCTTCAACAGCCATCGTGGTGGAGTGTCTGCTCAGCTTTATTCTAGAACTCTCCCAGCTTCTCCTCAGATGTAAGGCCCTTCTTCCAGTCTCCCCTCTGGAGAAAAGGCAAGAGAGTTGGCGGGAGGGAAGTTCGAGACCTCAGGCAACTGGAAATGCCATGGTCTGGTCACTACCCAGCTGCTGGGCTGCTCGTGGAGTCTGTAGTTAGGTGTTTCCTAGAGGACTTAAAGGCTCCGTCCATTTGTGTCATCTTCAGGGCCGCTGCTGGAGTCACATGAATGCTGGCCTTCTTTCCTACTTATTACTTATATTCCTGCCGCTTAAAGGACCATGGGTGTTTCATGATATTAGCCTGTATTTGGTGCATGTTGAATTTATTCATTAATATCTTGGTTTTGCTCATTCAGTGTCACTTTAAGTCTGGAAACTGTAGCTGCACAAACATTTCTTGCCTTATTTCTTTATAAGCTCCCTGTCCCCTCCCATTTTCTCTATTTGTTGTGGGTCCTCCTGATGGCTGGATATTCGATCCCTAGATTTATGTCAGAGATTTCTGTGTGATTTATAATAGGCTTGGTTTTCTTTTTATATTTTTCTTGGGCATTTTAATGACTCCTCTTGCAAGTTGTTGTATGTGTTTAAGTACTTCCCATGTGTCGGGTCCCATAGTCTCTCCCTCTCTTTTATAAGGTGTCCTTGTTTGTGTTTGGAACCTAATGAGTTTCTTTTCAGATTTTAAATGTTTCTGTTAAAATTAAAGGAACATGAGTAGCCTGGGCTGGGAGGGAGTTGGAGGATCTGAGTGTTTTCCTGTGTTTCGGCACAGAACTTCCTAGCCACTGTGTACCTTGTACTCCAGACCCTTCCAGCTCCTTCACAATTCCCCTCGCTGTGGGCTCATGAAGACATTCTGGAATCAAAGCTGCCACTTAGTCTGTGTCAGTTTTTAAGATGCTGTGACCTCTAGTTGGATTCCTTCGCCCCTAGTCTTCCCTGTGAGTTGAAAGCCCTGACATGGTTTTGTAAGAAAATTAGGGATTTCTACTTAATCTTTCCTCTTGAAAAATTATTGGCTTCTAAGTAAGGCACTTTCTTTTTTTTCCTTTCCGGTCAGTGATAGCATCAGAAATGAGAAATTATGGCATGGCTCTGTGTCCCTCACGGTGCAAACACTGGAATTATGTGAGCTCTCCATATCTTAGACTTTCAGTAGCTCTAAAGCAGCCATTTTCTTTTTGTGTTTGTGTGGGTTTTATTTTAAATGACAGGTGTCAGGGAGTACTTTGAGACTAGTGTGGTTTGCAAAGGCAATTGTATCATGTCTATCACAGACAAAGGCTTTTGTATCTCTTTTTCCTGCTATCCTGTCATTACCAATAAGGCACTGCTTCTCAGAGAGCAAACATTCTAGATAAGGTATCTTCTTGTTCTTGACCTTGATGCTTTTGGGAAGAAAAGTCCTTAAAACTTCATCAGGACGTGTGGGGAGAGCATGGCCACGAGGTGCCTGAGGGTATCTAATGTGCAGGCCTCTCTTGTCTTTCCTCTGTGTGTGCTCCTTTGCCCCATACCCCTGGGGTAGCTGTCTTGCTAATGCGTAAACCACCCCAGGGATGCTAACCACCCCAGGGATGTATCTCCAGAAGGGTTTGTGGTGATCTGTCCGCACTCTCTTGGTGTTTTCCCTTTTTGAGACATGTTCTGTTTGTGTTGACCTGGAATTCACTACCTAACCAAGTTGTCCTTGAACTGGCCCTGTGCTGCAACCGTCCATGCTGAGCCTGCAGGCCCCGCTGCACACCTGTCTCCTGCATGGTTTCTCTCGGCTCATTTGGCTGCCTTCCTTCCAGGTTCTCTTCAGGGTTACTGCTCCTGGGTTCCTTCAGATCCTAACTTCTTGAAGCTGCCAAGCATGCTTCTGACAGTGCACCCTTGACTTTAATTTTGTTGAAATAATGTTGAAAGTAAAATAATTGCTATCTTAGCATCTCTAAATCTCTAGCCTATTATGATAAAGCCTAGACTGATGTATATTTGTTTTTTCTCTAGGCACTGATCACACTATGGTCTCAGGGAAATTCTGTTCTTGATTCCCTGGTTTGAAGATGGGCTGAGAAATGTTTGTTCCCTGTTTTGTTCATTTTAAAATACATGTCTTTTCTGAGTAGACAAAGGATCTGTAA